GATGTTATCCAGACGGTTGTGCCCAACCACTCGCTGGTGGAGAAGCTGGCCAGCCTCTATCTGGAGAATGTGAACCCCAAGAACCTGCAGGTCGTTGGCCTGGAACAAGCACCGAGTGTGGTGGGCTCAGACCAAGACACGAGAGGGGCTGAGCCCTTCTCCAGCCCTCACGAGGACAGTCACTCTGGTACTTTTGGGAGCGTGCTGGTAGGGAACCGCATCCAGGTCCCTGTGGACACACAGTCTGAGGGTCTCGGCCTGCTTCGCCTCAGTGCTGGCACTGATGGCTTTATTCCCAGCTCATCCAGCGAGGAGAATGCCCTGAAGCACGACCTCCCTCGCAGCACCCACATGCTGTGTGGGAACTGGCTGGCCTACTGGCAGTATGAGATTGGGGTGAGCCAGCACGACCCCCGCTTCCACTTCCACCAGATCAAGCTGCAGAGTTTCTCAGGGCATTCAGGGGCCATCAAGTGTGTGGCACCACTTGGCAGCGAGGATTTCTTCCTGAGTGGCAGCAAGGACAAGACTGTCCGCCTTTGGCCCCTGTACAACTACGGGGATGGCACCAGCGAGGTGCCACCGCGGTTCACCTACGCTGAGCACAAGAAGTCTGTTTTCTACGTGAGCCAGCTGGAGGCACCACAGCACGTGGTGAGCTGTGATGGGACTGTGCACATCTGGGACCAGTTCACGGGTAAGAAGGGAAAGGGTGAGGGCTGGCTAGAGGGAACTTGTCCAGTCCTTACAGACAGAGGGGCCATACTGAGTTTGGATGGCTCCCATTAAAACTCAGCACAGAACTGGAGATTTGCTGTGTACCTTCTCTGTACATCTGCTGCCAGAGTGTCTGTCATGTTTTCACAGGCAAACTTCTCCGGACTTTTGATGAATTAGACAGCAAAGTGCCCATCACAGCTGTGACCACCATGCCACCTCCCCATCACAGCATCTCTGTGGCCAGCGCAGACTCTGTGCTGCGGTTCATCGACCACAGGAAGCCAGGACTGCAGGTAGGGACCCTGGAGCTCTGCGAGCCACCCTCCTCCATCTGTGTGCATAACAATGGGATCACAGCTGGCTCAAAGCCAGCTGCCATGTCTCCATGGAAGCCAGCTGGAGCCCAGGGTGTCTTGTCCCCTAAATGCCGGATCCCCTGATCTCCATCCCCCATAGCCGGCCTGTCTCTCTTGCAGCACGAGTTCCGCCTGGCCAGCGGGGTGAGCGCGGGGCTCATCCGCTGCCTGGCCGTCAGTCCCAACGGGCGCAGTGTCATGGCCGGCTTCTCCTCCGGCTTCATCGTGCTGCTGGACACCAGGACAGGGCTCATCATGCGGGGGTGGCCTGCCCATGAGGGAGACATCCTGCAGATCAAGGTAAGAGGTTCAGCTGGGATCAAGGCGGGGCCTCGTCGATCCTCTGAGGCTGCATGGAGCATCCTTCCAGCAGGGCTTGTCTGCTCCATCCTGGAGCATTCCTCCACCTTTGCTGTGTCCATTGGTTAGTGCTGCCAGTGGCTGTTCTTGGTCCAACCCTCCTGGATGTCAGTCCCTGCTGAGCAGGTCTGCAGCAGGGGCAGGGAGGAGCCATAGCTCCCGTGAAGAAGCAAATGTGTTGCTTTCTCCACATGGCACTCAGCTTCCCAGGGAGAGTGTCACTCTAATGAATAACTCTTGTCCATATTTACCCACCCTCAGGGAGCAGCGCTGGGGCTCCAGGGTCCTTGACCCAAACGCAGGTTAAACAAAGTTCAGCAGTGTGGGTTGTTTACCCTCTCACTAGCTCTGCTAATAAGCAGCTCCAGGCTTCTCCTACCCTCAGCAGTGTTTTTTACTGTGAGAGAGCCTCCTGATTCCTTTTCCTGAAAAGGAAAATGGTTTAGCAGGTGATTTAGTGGAGAGGGAGACTGCATGGTAATCCCTTTACCCACTGCAGTAATAACAGATGATGAATGAGTTGTGTTGGGTATCAGGATATTGTTGAGAAGAGGCATAGCCCATGTCTTGGAGGATAGCACTGGAGGAGGTTGCCAGCTACCAGAGCATCCTGATGCCTTGCTAATAGTTCTCAGAACTATCAGTTGCTTGGAAATGGCTGTGCCTGTCCCAAAGGATTGCACTGTGACTGGGAGTTTTTACAGCAGGAGTATTGGCTCACTGGCCTTTCCTTTTCTGCAGGCTGCAGAGGGCAATGTGCTAATCAGCTCCTCTTCGGATCATTCCTTGACTGTCTGGAAGGAACTGGAGCAGAAACCTTTGCACCACTACAAATCTGCGTCCGAACCCATCCACGCGTTCGACCTCTACGGTAACGAAGTGGTGACTGGCACTGTGGCCAACAAGATCGGGGTCTACTCCATGCTGGAGTCCTCAGCTCTGCCCATCAGCACGACCAAGCTGAGCTCCGAGAATTTTCGGGGTACACTGACCAGCCTGGCGGTGCTGCCCACAAAGTGCCATCTCCTGCTGGGCTCCGACAACGGCATCATTCGCCTCCTGGCGTAGTGACCCCCAGTCCAGGAGCCTGTGGCTGTCCCACAGTGCTGGTGGTGGAGCTGGAAGCCGGCAGCGTGGCTTTTGGAGGAGGCAGAGTTAGATGTTTCTGAATGGAGGATGCAGGGGGAGGTGTACTTGTTAGTGAGCACTTGATAAAGTGTCTCTAACCTCTTTCTGTGTCTTTAAAAAGAAAAAAAAGCCATAACTGAGAAACCTCCACTGCTGCTGGGAGAGATACTGGGCGTTGTAGGTCACTGTCACCCCTGCAGAGAGGCCTGGAGCTTTCCATACCATGTGTGCCTGACCCCAGGGGACTGTGAGGTGCCCTCCAGAGTAACAGGGACCACAGGAACCCTCCCTCCTTCAGTTAAGGAGTAAGAGGTGCCCCTTGACAAAACACAACAGTTTAGCTACTGCCATCTGCACTTACCCTTCACTTCCACTCCTGAACCACTGAACAGTCTTACTAGGATAGCATAAGCTGGGCCTGGGAACTGCTGCCTTCGGAGCTGTGCGGTGCCAGGCACCTCCTTCTCCCATGGTTGGTGCTCCAAGCCCAGAGGAGGTACTTTATGAACTTTAGGTCCTGCCAGCTGAGTTAGAGCCTGCACGGGAAGAGGAGATGTTAACTAGAGCCCTTCTGCTGCCATACTGGCTGCACAGCAAAGACTGGAATGGAAGTCAGCCAAGGCACAAACCCCTTCTGCTCTGCCAGTTCATTTAGGAATGGGTTGCTGCAGAGGGGCAGTTTGGAATGGGAATGTGACCCTCTAGGGAGGCTAGAACTAGATGCTTCCCTGAGAATTTTGGTTTCTGGAGCAGCAGGGTAAGGCTGTTGTTGGTTCCTGCCCCAGCATCCAGTGATGATGTAAGGGGTGAGGAATGCCCAGGGTGCCACGCACTGGCAGGGATCCTCAAGAAATCCTTCTAATCCTCTCCTTTGTGCTGGTCAGATTCCTGGGGAAGACAGGACAGCACAAAGGTGCTCAGTTTTGTCCCCTCCTGCCCTTGTAGGGTGAGAGCCAGGAGGCATTATCCAGCATGGTCTTCCTCTGAGCCTCCCCTTGGGACAACACTGTTTCCCACCTCAAAAGCAAAGAGTGTGCTCTTTGACCCAGCAGTAGGAGCAGTTGCTTCACTTCTATTGCAGCCCTTTTCCCATCCATCCTTCAGCCTAGCCAGAGCCAGTATCAGGGGAGCAGGAAGCACTTATCATAGGCAGAGGAGGAGCCTGCTGTGAGTTATCCTGGGAGGGGAAAGGGCTTTGATCCAGCTGCTGGTTCATCTGAGCCACCTGCAGCTGGGGAGGTGAGTGGTTGGCCAGTGCTGTCCTTCCCTACCTAAGGGGAGCTCTCAGTCCCGTGTTGCCTATTAACCATTTGCAATAGATGTAAATATTTACTTCTAATAAACTCTTTGAAAGAGCTGCAGAGCCAGGTGTGTGGAAGCTCTGTGCTGGAGGGGCTGGGTGTGCTGGCTGCAGCTCTCTTGCTCTGCAGCCAGAGCTAAAGCCCCTCATTTGGGCACGTCTTTTGTTCTGGGGGAGCTGGAGGAGGGATGCTGTGAAGATGCCCTGGATGTAAGGTAGGACTGCTGCACAAGGACTTGGATTTGCTTTCCAACAGGAATTAGTTCCTCATGTTGCAGCAGAATGTCCCAAAGTAGTTTGTGGTTGCAGAGCTCAAACCTGTCTCCTCCTTCCCAGTGTCTGGCATGAGTTTGGGAACCAAGACTTACTGCAAGGAATGGATGACTGGAAGAACTGTGATCCCATTAGCATTCCCCACTGCTCTTTAGTGACTCCTCTCCCACTGAGGACACAGACAGAAGGTGGGAAGGATCACCATCACTTCTGGATACAGCACAAAACCACACAGGACAGGACTGCTGGAATTCTGCCCGTCCCTGAGACTATTCCTCCATGCCCCAGCAGTGTGTGCGTGCTGTGGAGCCTGGCACCCGGGCCAGCTGCCCTGGCAGAGCTCTGGAGCGTGCTGTGCCCCAGGGGAGGGACCAGCTGCTCTTGGCTCAGCCCAGCCTGGGCATCACACCCTCCCATTCCATGTGTGGCCACGGGGGCCCTGGGCACCTGCCATCTGTTAAACCGGTGCCTTGCGCTGGCTGCAGCAGAAGCAGCTGTGATGCAGGGAGTGAAGAACTGGGGTTTTCTGCAAGGAAAATTCCAAAACCAGAGAGCCCTGTGGCAATAAATACCAAGCCCTGCGTTTTCACTGAGGGTTATGAATAAAAGAGCACATTCCCAGCACAGGGAGTGTGGGGAAAGTGGAGCCGCTACTCGGGACAACTGACTTTGCACGTTACTTTTGCTGATGAGAGATTGGGAGCTGGTGAACTCAGTGTTAATGTTGTCTTGAGGATACAGCAGCCCAACGTGTCTCCCCATCTCCAGATGCACCACAAATTCACTCTTCTCCTCCAAACAAATGTTTAACCGGATGCTGTAGGTCAATATTTGCCTGCCAGGTTCTCAAACAGGGGGTGGTGCCGAAGGTCGCTGCCGTGGTGGGCTGGACGAGAGCTGCGTGTGCCCCAGGCAGAGCTGTCAGCTGGGCTAAAGCAGGTGCCAGCTCCAACATGGACATGAACAAGCTCAGGTAAGGGGCAAATAAAAGAGGGTTTGATATAAATGAGTGCTCCTCCAATGAGCAGTAGTGCCCCTCCGGGAGAGTGGAGTGAATTTGGCAGAGGGTTAACGGATGAGGCACCGCCAGGGAGGAACAGGGTGCTCAGGGTTATATGTGGCTGCAGGATTTGGGGTGAGGGAGGAGGGGAAATGAAATGGCCTCCAGTTTTGCTTCTTCCACTTGGCAACTGGGGTCTTAGCCCAGCAGTTTTGGGTCAAGTGAGGACTGCTTGGAGAGTGGAAAGCAGCCCCAGGAATTAAGTATGGCAGTTGTGTTGAGGGCTGGGCTTTGGCACACTGACTTTGTGTTAAGAAAAAGATATGTTATTTTTGTTTGAAAGGGAAAAGTGGCTGGGTGAAACATTGGCCAGGGAATGGGTGGGGTTTTGTCCGTGACCCTGGAAGCCCTGATCCCACTGTCCCAATACAGGAATTGGACTGCGGGGGTGGGAGAGGCTGGGTTTGCCAGCAAGGGGGGAAGGCAAGTGCTGGGAAGGGGAGGACTCTCCATTCCAGGACATATTGCCGAGAAACTGCTCTGGAATTGCCTTTTCCACCTGCAAAGTCCCTCTCAGACAGCACCTGCTTAAGTGCCTGCAGCCCCACAGAGGCAGGTCAGTATCCCTTCTCCCAAGAGCCCTGGGCTCAGCTGAGGATGCTGTGCCTATATCTCAGTGGTTTCCATGGGAAAGAAGCAGAGGGTCTTGTCTCCTTCCAGAGGCACAGTGTGTGCAGCACTGATTAGGGAAATACCATTTGCAAGCCAGAGAAACGAGGGCAATGGGGTCAGACATGCAGGATCCAAGCGGGAAAGCGTCATGGAGGAGCCTGGCTGTGGTTGCAGCTCTGCTCCAGTGAGGTCCCTGGTCCTCTCTGATTTCGCTGCCTTGGCGTCAGACCCAGGAGTCCTGTGTTGTTTCTTAGCAGCATTGTGCATCTCCCTATTGCTTTCTGTGAGCTCCTGTGCCAACCTGTTTGGCCAGGTTGATAATTTTCTCCCTGTAGACCTGAAAAGGCTCAGCTCACTGCTGCCAGGCAGCTGGAAATAACTTTTCTCTCGGCTGGTTCTTCTGTTCCAGAAATATGGTGTTCCTCTGGGGTCTGCTCTGCCTATCTGCTCTGCACAGCCTCCTAAAGGTAAGTTCTCACTCCAGCGAGGTGGGGGTGTGAGCACAGCCTCTCCCCACCAGCAAAGGGCAAGGGCAGTGTGGTGGCTCCCTGCACCAGACCATGGGGCAAATATCACCCAGTGCTGCTGCATGAGAAGCCCTGGAAGGCAGATTGGTGGAGGTGCTTCTCTGCTGTGGCTTAACCAGCAAGGTTTCTTATCTTTTACCCAGATAAGATAGCTGTGGATATTATCATTATTCATATTTCTGTAGAAAATCTTTGGAAACTTGGCTTCAACTGTATTTAGTGACCGTGACTCTCAGGCATTAACAGGAGGTTGTTTAATAACAGCCATTAATTTCCCCTCCCCATTTTAAATTTGGATCCTTGTCAGATCTGAGATTGCAAAACTGCACTGCTCACTCTCTAGAGGATACTTTATTTTGTATTCGTCTGGCCTGACCCCTTTCTAAACAAATGCAGTGTTTGCAGTCTCTCCCAGCTCCTGCTCGCTTCCACCTCCCCACGTCAGACCCCACTGCCTCTGGGTCTGCATCCTAAAGCCCTGCCTGGGCTATTGCCCTGTGGGGAACTGCTACAGCCAGGAGCAGGAGTGGGACCAACTCTGAAAATTCAGAGGAAATTATCAGAGACCTGACTTTTTTCCTTTATTGATTTTTTTTTCCTACAGTTTTCTTTGGCACATGCCATTGACCAACAGCGTCTCTTCCTAGACAAAGATGGGAAGCTGAAGGTAAGCAGTGACTGATTCCACCCAAGTGGACTGAAGTTATGCTGTGGTGTTTGCAATGGTTTTCCAGCTTGTCCTGAGATAGATGAACCCAGATAGTGAAATCCAGTAGTGCCAGTGCCTTGAGAAAGTCCGTCTTTCATTCCCTCCTGTGGCCAACACCATGCTCCCTCACACTAGAAGCTCCAGCCTAAATAACTGGGCAAAGTATGGAGTTAACATTAGTACTGGTATGTACAGGGGCTGGCAGGTGGATGATTTAATTTCTGATTGATAAGGAAAGGTGAGGAAAACAACCAGCTGTGAGGATGACAGGGAGAAAGACCCGTAGCTGATGCAACCCATTGAGCCTGGGGTGTTTAAGACTGTGAAAATATGAGGAGAGCAGTGGCAGTGCTACAGGCTAAAGCCTAGAAAAGTGGAAAATGAAGAAATCTGGAAAGAACAGGGATGGAATAGAACAGACAGGTCAAGAAAACACAGATGCCTGGAGGAGGAATTGAGCCAAACTGGATTAGGGTTGTGACAGTAGTAGAGGGTGCTGACCGGTGCGTGAGGCAGATGGGCACTGCCAAAATGTGTGAGGGGAGGAGGTGAGATCAAGGCTGAGGATGATGGATCTATAAACACTGAAGGCACAGGACGTGTGCTGAGCAGGTGGTAGGTCTTGCCCTCAAGCTTGCCTGCAGCAGGCCCTGAGAGCAGGAGGAACCACTCAGTCCATTTTCACAGGATATAAGCCCTTCTCTCTTCCAGACTCATTGAGGTGCTTTTAAACTCAATGTCAAGCAAAAACACAAGAGTAGAGGAGGTGGAGAGTTTGCTCGGTCCATTTAGGTGTGCAGTAAGGCCCATGAGGGAGGGTGTCACTGTGCTCCTGCTTTTCCCATGCTATCCTTCATGTTTCTCCTCAGGATATGAAAAGTGCTGGAATTGTACAGTCTGATCAGCTGAGACCCAACCCAACCCTGCCAGATGCAAAGCTGGTAGAATTTGCTTATGACAGCTTCCAGGAGATTGGTGGACCCATGTCACCATTTGCCACCAACCTTCCAGACACAAGGGATGACTTGAACCTAGAAGATGAACCCATAGCTGGGGCTGGGGGCTGTCATGAAAACAAACTACCTGGGGAAGTTGCCTCTCCTGAAGAAGGAGAGGCTGAAGATAAAAGCTGTGAGATTACTTGGAAGAAAAGCCAGAGGCTGGCAGATGGCTTGGTGAGATTCAGCATCGATCTCCTGAGAGAGGTCCAGCTGGAATCCAACAGAACCAATGTGATCCTGTCGCCCCTCAGCATCGCTCTTGCCTTGTCTCACCTGGCACTGGGTAACTTCTTAGCTACAAACCCACCATTTCCTGCCCTTCCCCATACCCTCTCCCAAAGGCACTAGCAAACAGTGTGCAAAATGCAAATTAAATACAGTCCCTTCCACTTATCCTTACTCCTGCAGCTTTAATTAGGTACGATTACAATTGAAGCTGCCCTCTGAGGCTCCCACTCTCAGACTTCTCCAGCCTCTTTTGTAAGGCACAGCATGTTTCTAACAGGAGGCAGCCAGAGTAACATCCCTGTTTTCCACTGCATGGGCACGACCTAACAGGAATTTGATTTTTAGGAGCAGCAGATCAGACAGAGAAGCATTTGCTGGAGGTGATGCACCTGGAGTCTGTGCCCTGTCTCCACCACATGCTGGGCACCCTTCGCAGAAGGCTCAGCGAGTCCACCCTCAGCCTGGCATCGCGTCTGTACCTGCAGAAAGGTCAGAGCTGGCACAGGGGGGGTCTGTACTGGTGTAGGATAAAACTCCCAGTGACAGAGAGTGATGGAAGCACACTGCCATACTGGGAGACATCTCTGTTTCCCTAAGCACTCCTCCCGGGAGTGTCATGCCACTGGCTGAGCCACTGAGCAAACCCTTTCCATGTCCAATGACTTAATGTAGAATTCTACCCCTCTGCCAGGATTTGAGGTGAAAGAGAAGTTCCTGGAGGATTCAGAGAAATTCTATGGAGCAAAGCCCATGACCCTTTCTGGGATCAGTGAGAATGACCTTGTAGCCATAAACAACTGGGTAAAGGAAGCGACTCGTGGGCAAATACCCACCTTCCTACAGCAGCTCCCTGAAAACACAGTGATGCTCTTGCTCAATGCAATCCATTTCCACGGTGAGCTTCACAGGCTTTCCTTATTTTCCAAGAGAAATAGTTAGAAATCTAGTTTTCTCCAAGCCCTGTAGCTGAACAGCACCTCCTTTCCTTGCTTCCTGCTAGTCAATCTGCTTGTTCTTGTACATCTGCTGTTCCTCTTGCTTAGATTTCTCTACAGAGATGATTCCCAACTGCTTCACATGTGCTAAAAATGTTACTTGACAGCAGAGTCCGAATGGAGCAGGTGGGACCTGCAGTGCCTTTGCCTCCTGGTTCAGGATCCCAGGCAGTGGCACATCCCTGCTCATCTAGTCCTAACTTGATGATCTTAAAGGTCTTTTCTAACCTAAATAATTCTGTGATTAACCAGGTCACGTGCAACTCACTACACACCCACCACAGAGCTGAGGCAGCTTCTGTGGACCTCCTTCTGACTACAGCACAGTGGTCAGGCACATCTTCCTCTTTTAATTCCCTGAGGGCTGTGCACAGACCAAACACCTCCAATGTAAGTCTACAAACGCTTTGCCTTGGTCTTGGAGCAGTGTTTCACCCCATGCAGCACAAAGGCAATACTCCTCATTTTTCAAAGCACAAACATTGTTTCTTTTATCTCCATAGCCTTCGCTGGTCTCCCACACTGAGGCATGAGGATTTATCCTTGTTCTTTTTGTTATTTCACAGTCCCTCTCTGGATGATAAGAGTTTCCTGCTGTCAGGGCTCTTCCAGCCTTAGTACTGACTTCTCTTTGCTGTATTTCTACTTGCCTGGCACTGTCTGCCTTGTTAGAGAACTCAGCTCAGCAGTTTCTGTTTTTCTACCCAAATTTAACTGTGTTGATTTCAAAACTTTTCTTTTGACAGGGTTTTGGAGGAATAAGTTTAATGCTAGCTTGACTGAGGCAGATGTATTCCACCTTGACAATAAGTTTGTGGTCCCAGTTGAGATGATGAAAGCCCACCAGTACCCCCTGAGCTGGTTTACACTGGAGTCCCAGGACATTCAGGTAGGGCTCTCACAGAAGCATTGCAAGTTTTGATTGGAATTTCCTCTTATGGTATTTTACTGACTGCAAGTATTCTTTAAAAAAAAAAAAAAA